TTTGCTTTTAGAACATCAAAAAGAATATGAAAAAATATGCTGCTTAATGGGAGAAAATATTTTAAATTGTATACATTATTTGGGTCTATTAGGGTTTATAAAGAACACTACATATATACATATATATTATATATATAAAATCTTGTTTATTTATAGAATCTTAAAAACCAAACTCAGAGAAGCTAGTATCTAGAATATATAAAAAACTCTTATCAGTCAATAATAAAACAACTATTGATCAAGTAAAAATTGACAAAAGATTTGAATAGACGTTTTCCATAGAAGATACACAATTTGCCAATTTGCTCAATTTCATTTGTTGTTAAGAAAATACAAGTCAAACCACAATTAATACTAGTTGACACCCACTAGAATGGCTATACCAAAGATACAATGACAAATGTTAGAAAAGAAGTGAAGAATATGGAACTCACATATGCTACAAATAGGAATGTGAAATATTGCAGCACCTTGAAAACAAAACAATATGAAATAAAAATGTGGCTATCCCTCAAAATGTTGCACATAAAATCACTATAGGACACAGAAATTCTAACCCAAAGTTAGTATGCAAAAGGAAAAGACTCTTATATGAATGCTCATAACATGTGGTAACGTCCATGCAATAGAATGCTACTTGCCATCCAAGAGGAATGATGTAATGATGCAAGCTACAACAGAAATGAAACCCGAAAACATTGGGCTAAGTGAAAGAAATCAGACCCAAAAGACCACAGAATTCATGATCTTGGCTATTAGAAACTCTGATAATAGGCTCATCTATAGAGACATAAAATTGATTGTTGTCTAGATCTGACATGGCAAAGGTGAATACAAATAGGATGCATTTTCCTCCTAAGAGATACAAATATTCTAAACTTAGGTGGTAATTAAGCTCGCATGGCTCTATAAATATACTAAATAGCCTGGTGTTGTACTTGAAATATGTGATTATATTATATAAAATATACCCCAGTAAAGCGTTTTAAAAAATTAACGTGTCAACGTACACTAAGGTTGTTTAAGATTTTCAGAAACCCAAGTCACGGATTGTAAAAATGAAATCTATTTCTTGTCCATTTCAAAGCATAATAAAGAAAAGGGAGGCGGCAAGCTAACACGCAAAGGTTTGGTTACTGATGCAGGAGTGTTAATGGGCAGGAGCCACGTGATTCGTTTAACCACGTCAGAAAAGCAAAGGAAATGATAATAATTTATTGAAGACCACTCTGACTCAGAGTGACTCAGATTGTTAGGAATGTGAAAGCTGTACTCGCAGGGTTGGGCATATTTCTTATCAAACACAGCTCCAAAGAGCCATCTCACAAAAAGGTTATCAGCGACTCTCCTATCCGCAGTTGCCTGGAGTTTTACAGTTGTCTACCGCCAGTCCTAAAAATGCATTGTAGTCACTCATTCTAAATTCAATGTAATACTCAAATCTAATACAAAACTGCACATTTCATGACTACCACATTCAATAATTTGCCTTTTTTTTCACGGCCAGCCCTCCGCATTCCCTCTGTTTGTAGCCCTACCTGTCGCCGCTCTCTGGAGCAAAATTGTCCACCTCGGGAGCTCAGGCTGCGGGTCCGCGTTCTGCACCGAGTGCCAGTGTTGGCTGGCTCAGGAGCTGTGGGGCGGGCTTGGCGCTCATAGGGCACCGATTTCCCCTGACAGTCCCGGGAGCCCGCGGACGCCCCCCACACCAGACCGCGCTCCGCTCAGCAGGCGCCCCAGGGGCTCAGGTCTGCGCTGGAAACTGCGCCTGGCAGAGAAGGAGCAGGGTGTGCTCCCACCTCACTCTCCACTCCGCACCGTCCGCCAAGTAAACCCAATTCCAATTCCGTAATAAAAGGATGCAGAGGTGCGCTACTAGCTCCATCCTTTCCTACTGCCGGCCCTTAAGGGGTGGCCCCGCTACCAAGGCTCGAGGAGGTTCCCCGCCCAGGAGCACCGCGACTCCCCGGAACTGAGTTTTCCATGCGCCACGTGTGGCAGGCAGGAGCCCAGGCCTCCTGGCCGCGTCCACCGGGCGGTGCGGAGGACAAAGCCGGTTTCACTTGCTTCCTCCGGGACCCAGAAAGGTCTGACGCCAGGAAAATACCCGGCGACCCTAGGGGCCCCACGGATCTATCTCACAGACGCCCTACAGAAGTGCCCTGCAAGACCTAACCTGATGAGGCCCCTTCCACCCTTTACTTCTCGGGGGAGCCATCATTCCCCTGCGAGCCCTCCTAGGTTATTCCCGCGCACCCTGCATTGACCTCTGGCCTTGGAGCACCCTCGAGTTTTCCCCGCCGGAAACGTGGGGACCCCACAATTATTCTGTTCCAAAGACGCCTCCCAAACCTGTCTCCTGTCATCAGCCACGCTATCGCACCGCGGCGACTGCCCAGTCTGCCCCTTCCCCGTCCCAACCATCTCGGAGTCTCCACAATGACTTCCCCAGGTCGAAGGCTGTACTGAGACCCCGCATAGCGACCCCGACACACAGGACCACCCTCCAGCACTCCCTCAGACATCCCGCCCACCCTACAGTGGAGACCAGGCCCCACCCTCCATTCAGGCGATGACTTCCCCCAACCACCCCTAAAAAGATGCTTTCCCGGAGACCCCGCACAGGGCGCCTCTGTCACACAGAGCGACCCTATAAATCCCTCCCCAGACATCCTCGGCCCTCCCCAGATGGAGACCTCACAAGCGGAGGACTCCCCTGGAGAGGATCCTCAGAAACCATCCTCAAAGCCACCACCACAACCAGAAAGACCCAAGGGAGAATCGCGGCCACGAAACGCATCTCCACACACGCACTCCTCCCGGCACTCACGGCCACCTCATCCCATGGAGACCTCAAAACCCTCTCCCCATGTTGCAGGGAAAAGAAACGGAGAGTCCAACAGAACTTCCCGCAGGAGAATCCATTTGCCTTTTATTCATTATGCAGTGGAGCTAAAGTGCAGGGCACGAAGGATTTTACACAAAATTTTAAGTTCTTATGTATAGGTTTTCGTGGAAATGTAAACATTTAACAATGATAGGGATAATAGATAATAAACTCATCCTAAGTACATTATCACTAGGTTTCAGCAATTCTTACTTTGCCATTTATTTTCAACTATCAATCCAAATATCCTGGTAGTATTTTAAATCAAATATAAGATATAATATCATTAATTTTGGGAAAATTTAAGTAACTATAATAAGTGAAGATAAAAATATCATTATCACAACTAATACAATTTTTAATATATAAAATAGTTAAATTTGTGTATTTACCAAAGAGTAGACTCTACAACCACTGAAGGTTTTGCATGAAATGTTTTAACATCTTTAGTCAATATTTTATCTTCAGACACAAAATATCAATACATGTAAATTCAGTTACATATAAAGGGCCACAGATTATGGTTGGAGGAGGAAATTGCAAATCGACAGTGGGATATTCCAAACTACTGTACTGTGGAAGTAAAAGCAAGAAAGAAAATAGGGATTCCTATTGTTTCTGATAAAAGGAAAGGAAAAGTAACTCCCAGAAAGCCACTCCCTCATTTTGCCATATTCAAATGTCTAGGACAAGGCACAGGTCTGGCCGTACCCAAGGAAAGATGAGGATTCAGGTGTAACAAAAGACAGCAGGGATCATGGAGCATCTTAGGATTCTGCCCCCCATATCCACCCTTGCACAAAAACTTGATCTAACGTCTCACATTGGTGGAGATCTGGTCTTGTAAGGAAAAACAAAGTCTCAGAAAGTGTTTCCTGTGTAGGTTCTGAGGCAATTGATCCTCAGTGCCTTCTATTTTGGAAGCCAGAAAATTCTTTCTTGATTGAGAACGGGTGCAGTCCTGTGCACCATAGGAGTCCCATTGTTGACTGCATTTCAGTGGGTGCCACCAGTTATTACAACCAGAACTGTGTGGGCAAACTTCCTCAGGATGCAGAAGCCACTCCCATGAGAACCGCTGCTCCTCTCCATCTGTGAACAGACTGACAGATGCAGGCAGCACCAGCAATCTCTTGAACCACTGCGGTACACTGGAAAATGTGAGTCGTGGTGTGTCCCTGTGTTAGAATTATTGAGAGGCTTTTTTTTGTTGACAAGTGCTGAGACTATACAATGCACTAGGGCAAGATTAGCTGGGAAAATGATCTTCTGATAACGTTTTGAACCCAGATGTTCCTCCTTTGTTGTTTTCCCAGAACTGGATTAATTCAGTTTTCACTTCTGTAGCTCCCCTAACAATCCCAAGGCCAGGTCTTTTACTGCTTCCCTAGGTGGCGTGACCATTATTGGCCTAGGGAAAGATGAGCTGATTTCATCTCTTCCTTTATAACCATGATGTGGGGACCTCATTTCACATACACAGATTCCCTCCAAAGACTAGATGAGCAGGCCTGAGCCACTGTGGTGCTTGGAGTAATGACAGCCTTGCGCCGATGCCACTCTCTCTTCCCACCATTGTTGACTTTTGGGCCATTGCACATTCAGTGCCTCCGTGGACAGAGAACCAATCCCAGGTGCTCTCACAAATATGGAGCCAATTCTAAAGGTTTTTGAGCTCCAGCTCAGTTCAGACCATTGTCACCTGCTAGGGACTGTGGGTGACTGTGGACACCACTGGCACCTGCTTGAGACTGTGGGTGACTGTGGACTCTGAGCTGGGATGTGCTATGTCCATGTGACACTCCTCCCCAAGAGTTGTTTAACAAGGTGGTGCCCTAGGAATGCCATCTGGAACCAGTGAAGGAGGAAGGGCAGGAAGCACCTGGCACCCACTGTTCATACCACCATCACCAAATTCCACAATGTGGCAAACTTGAAGATGCTTCCTCTGGATGAAAATCCTAAACAACAACAACAAAAACAAATAACAAAACAAATAACAAAACAAAGAAAAAAAAGAAAATCCTAATTTTGTTGTTTCTTTCAGCAGAAGTGATATTTTCTAGTCTTTACAGTTGAGAAGTTCAGGGTCTCTTAAGGCTAATTTCTCTCTTTAAGATAAGATGGCATTAGAGCACCGAATACCAATGAAGTTCATGCTGATAGCCCTTTTCATTGCAGCTGCATCTCGATGCAAGTCTTTGTATTCACACAGCCGTGACATAGCCTAGGAAAGTAAATCAGAGAGAAAACAGGTACAATTTTTAAAAAGGGCTCCAACTTTTTTTTTTTTTTTTTGACATGGTGTCTTGCTCTGTCGCTCAGGCTGGAGTGCAGTGGCGCGATCTCACTGCAACCTCCGCCTCCTGGGTTCAACGGATTCCCCTTCCTCAGCCTCCTGAGTAGCTGGGACTACAGGCACCCGCCACTGCGCCCAGATAATTTTTTGTATTTTTAGTAGAGATGGAGTTTCACTGTGTTAGCCAGGATGGTCTCGATCTCCTGACCTTGTGACCCACCCGCCTCGGCCTCTCAAAGTGCTGAGATTACAGGAGTGAGCCACCGCGGCCGGCCAGGCTCCAGCATTTTTATAAAAGGCATCACTGATAAGAAACCACACATACAGATTCCTTTAGATGGTTCCCCTGCAACTGCTTTGGCTGAGGTTTACACTGCCAGGTTCTGAGGATGCTACTCCCTGCCCATTCACTAAGGTGATCTCCTTTAAGGGCTATGAATAGATTGCCAGAGCCAAAAGGAACTTACTTTATTAAGTTATTTTAAAATTGGGTTCATCACTTGATGATACAGTCACATAAAAAATAAAATAGGCCTCCCAAAGATTTCAAGAGTATTGTGACACGATCCTAACAATATCATCTGTTACCTGTGCACTTGTTCCTTCAACATAATAAACATGCACTTGTGCCAAAAAATCAGTTTACTCAGTGATTCAAATTCTGTGCCATCTTTATTAGTTACTATATATTCAAAGCAAATTTTCATGAGACAGGTGTGTGCTAGGCTATTTTGGAACATCCAAGAAGTCTAACGACTGAAGCACCATAAGGTGCTACTTATATGCACACTGTGGTGGAAAAATGTATTATTCTAAAGTACCACCAAGATACCAGAGAAAGTGCCAATTTTATATATGTCGATTTCAGTTGTAATTTTCCTGTATACTCACTGAGGATCATAAGCCATAAATCTTACATTGCCCATGTCCTTCCTACAGCCAGTACTTGAAACACTGGCACCTTATGCAGTCTAAGTACAAGTCTCTCAGCCACTACTGCTTTGTCTAATAAACTCCTGGGACTGCATCATGATATATACAGTAGACAATGGCATAAATTTCCAAACTGTGTAAGTAAAAGACAGTCAAGAGTGGTAAGTGCATTGTGTATGTAGATATAATTAGGAATACAATTGCATTTATTCACGTATTGTTGTGTGAATGCATAGAGGTTAAAAACAAAACCCATTAAAATCAGATTAAATTTAATTAAAAATATTCTGAATTATGGCCATAGCAGAAAGAATATCAATAATTTTTTAAGAATATGGATCATTGGCCAGGCGCGGTGGCTCATGCCTGTAATTCCAGCACTTTGGGAGTCCAAAGTGGGCAGATCACCTGAGGTCAGGAGTTCGACACCGGCCTGACCAACATGGTGGAACCCCATCTCTACTAAAAATACAGTATTAGCTGGGTGTGGTGGCGCATGCCTGTAATCCCAGCTACTCGGGAGGCTGAGGCAGAAGAATTGCTTGAACCCGGGAGGCGGAGGTTGCGGTGGGCCAAGATCGCGCCATTGCACTCCAGCCTGGGCAACAAGAGTGAAACTCCATCTCAAAAAACAAAAAAATTAATTAATTAAGAATATGGATCCTTCTATAAACCATAACAGATAAGCAATACGATGCCAAAGAAATAAGCTCTTTTGTCTGTTAATTTTAAGGCTTTCATTTTCCTAATCACTACTTAATATGATTTTGTAACAGATGTTGGCTTTTGTGGCCGATGAAAAACTCCAATAAGTGACTTCACATCCTTACCTCCAGTCTCTGTGCTTTATCTTTGTGAAGAAAAGTAAATAGAAAGTACATGTCATAGTCATTTGCCAAGGCACGCAGGTCGAAGTAATATTTTGCATAGACACTGGCAGATACATGAATATTAAACTCAAGTAGCTCCAAGAAACACTTCTCCATCTTGCTCCTGGGGGAGGAGAAACACAATAAAACCAACATAGGACAATTCTAGTCAAGTGGGTTATCTTTAAAAATATCATTCTGAGCTACTAGGATGCTCTAAATTCTGTTCTGAAACAAATAAAGGCTGCCTGGTTGGGTTCCTACACTGATGTCCAAACAAGACACAGCTGCTTGGGGTCTCTTCTGCATCCCAGCACCCCAAGTTTGGGATGAGGGAAAGGTGGAAGCCTCTTCTGTACTCCTGCTGCGGACTCGGGGTTCATTCTTCAGAGTTCCCTTAGGGCAGCTGCACAACTCAGACTCCGTGCTCACTCATGAGCCCCGCAATAGCAATCACATGACAGGCATGATGGGTGCCATTTATTAGCTCTGAAGGACCTCCAGGCATTTTTACCAGGACGATAACAGGAAGGGGCTTACTGAAGTAGAGAAGCACCAACAGGAGGACTGGGCGCATCACCACAGCAACAAATGGACCCATGGAGAGCCACCCTATTATCTCAGAGGAGGAAAACTCTAAGGCTACAAGAAGGATTCATCCCAAATAAATACCTGAGCAAGCTACATTCCATGGCAAAAAGAATCCCCTTCCCTCTGCTCCAGCACACAAGGCTATGTCAAGGGGGCATAACTCAAGTTTCTGCTCACCTCAGTATTATGAAGAGTTGAAACTGCCACTATGACAGGGCAAGGATATTCTTTAATTTCAAAGGCAGAAAAATCAAGGAGAGACATTTTGGCTAGACTAAACCCGTTTTATGATGTGATTTCTAGTAGGGCCCTGACCTTACACACGCAGTGTTGCTCCTGAGTTGGGAATGCAACCCTGAAGTGCTCAGCATCTGTCACCCCTGGCCAGAACGGGATGTGGGGGAGTTGAATGCAGTGGAACAGGAAAGGGCTGGGAGCCATCCTCTGCCACATGGTCATCTAGCCGCCCTCACCAAGGCTAAATTAATAGGTACACAGTTAGAGTACATCTGGCTGTTTTCACAGTAATCCCTGTAATGAGTTAATTGCTTAAAAATGATCGGTATCTGAACAATACAATTTGGTTTCTTGGTTTGAAAATTTTAATATTTTACCCACTGGCTAAGTCAGCAAATGCTTGATGTTCTCCTGTAAGGGGGACAGTTAGATCATGAGCCAAGATGTGGTGATCTCATTTGCTGAACTTAAAACCCAGTTGAACCTACTTCCAAAATTAATTTTCTGTTCACATGTCCATAAGTCTATAGAAATTTAAATATATATATTTGAAGTATATATATATAATTTGAGTTATATGTATAATTCAAATAATACATGAATAGATAGCTAATCAGGACTAGACTTATTACAGGAATTAAAGGCACTTCATGATCCCTTTTTATTTTCTTCACTCGTACATTGTAACTGTGTAGAAATATGGTACTTCACAGCATTAATATATTAATAGAAATTTAATCCTGAAGAAAAGCATTCTGTGTATAGAATATGCATCTTCTGGGCTTTGTGGTTTTTTAAAATGGCTGGGTGATTGAATAGCATACCCTTTACAGACACAGCAAATTTTCCAAATAGCGGCTACTTAGTTTAACTTACTCTTTAGAAAGGAAATATATTCTAGGTAGACACATAGATGTTGGAAAGTTTTAAGAAAAATCTGATGGACACCAATTTTTTAACTATTACATTTACACTCAAAATGGGACCATTACAAACAGTCCACAGCAGGGGGCTGAGACAAATGTCTATTAAACACTGACGTAATGCTTTTCAACTTCCCAAGATCATAAACAGAAGCAGCCTGTTCGGAGCATAGCTCCTGATGTTTCCCCATTCACACAGCAACAGCACTGTCTGGAACTGGTCTTCTTGGAGCTGGGCTCTGCCCCCACTGCTCCTGGAGCTCACTTCTGTGGAACCTGCACATATCCCTGCATGCGCTCTGATCCTGTGACTACAACTCAGAGCCCCAGCCAGCTTAGCTGCAGGTTTTGAGAACAATTCAGCTGTCATGATGGTAGAACTAAGTGTTCATGATTACAAATTTGAAACTGCCTTTGCAAAAATTATAACTGAGAAAATCATGACAGTGAAAGAGAGCTGATCTAACTGACTTCATCTTGCTTCTAACCTCCAAGCTGCCCTTGTTCATTCCTAGGCAAAGGCCAAACTAACTTTGGGATGAACTTAGTTTATGGTTTAACTTTGAAACAAAGACGGTAGCAGCCCCTTCCCAAAACAAACCTGTTTCCTGCCTAGGGACTAGACTGCCTTTCCAAGACTAACAAATAGCCACAAGATTAGAAATTATGGTTTAGGAGTCATGTGGCTGAAGGCTGCAAGAGTCTGAACCTCCCCATATTGCTCCTGGGAATAGCATCACTATTGTTAAACCTAAGATCAGAGCTTGAGATATTTTGCAGGCCCTGTATTGGGATCAGGTGGCACCACTCCAATCAATAAACTTGGCTCATCTGGTTTTGTGGCCCCCATCCAGGAACTGACTTAGTGCAGGAGGACAGGTTCACCTCTCTCTGATTCCATCTCTGATGTGACCAATCAGCACTCCCCACTTTCTGACCCCCTATCCACCAAATTATTCTTTAAAAAACCATCCCAGAGTTTTTGGAGAGACTAATTTGAGTAATAGTAAAACTCTGATCTCCCGTACAGCTGCCTCTGTATGAACTAAACTCTTTCTCTATTGCAATTCCCCTGTCTTAATAAATCAGCTCTGGCTAGGCATCAGGCGAGGAGAACTCAGGCAGTCACAAATCTTGCTTCCTTTGAGGGACCAGTTTGCAAATTGATGACTATGATCAAGGCCACTTTAGTGTTTGCAGTGTCCAAAGTACTTCTGTTAGTTTCAAGTTCATTTGCTGTCACACTCTTTGCTAAAATGGCTACCAGAAATACCACCATGATCACTTGGTTTACACTATTAGCAAAGTAGTGTCAACAATAGGTTTTTGGTTTTGTTTTTGAGACAGGGTCTGGCTCCATCACCCAGGGCTGGAGTGCTGTGATGTGATCACAGTTCACTACAGCCTCAACTTCCCAGGCTCAGGCAATTCTCCTATCTCAGACTCCCAGGTAGCTGGGATCACTACAGCTGCCTGTCACCATGCCCGGCTAATTTTTTTTTTTTTTTTAAATTTGTACGGATAGGGTTCACTGTGTTACCCAGCAGGTCTTCAACTCCTGGGCTCAAGCAGTCCACTCACCTCAGCCTCCTGAAGTGCTGGGATAACAGGCATGAGCCACCGAGCTCAGCCACAAAGGGTCATTTTAAAATGTAGATATACACTGAGGTATATCTACAATAGACACTATATCTGCAATTGCAGACATACACTGAGGTGATTCAGAATGATAGTATTATCTGGAGTCATGGACAAAGGTCACAAAACTAACTTGTGCCACTGCCTGGAATGATCTTGATCTGCTGCTGCTGCTTAATGTGAACAAGAGCTGCTCCCTTGTCTTGCACAGATGCAGCCTGCACAGCTGTCCTCACTGTCCAGCCGGCACCCAGGAAGGCTCTGCTGGAAACGCCTCCCTGCTCACCCTGCCTGCCAGCTCCAGGGCCCGTCCCTTCATAGCAGTCATGAGGCGGGATTGGAAGGGAGCCCTGGTGAAGCTGTGTTTCAGTGTCATGTTGGTGCATCTGGGAGGAACTCCATGACTCTGCAACGCTCCTCGCACTCTCATGGACAACTCCAGACCCCAGTGTGCTGCTGTGGATGTCTGAGTACCCATGGAGCCTTGTGAGTGTCGTGGGCATGGGGAGATGCCCCAGAAACACTCTCGCACTGCGGGAGGCGAATGTTGGAGCTTCTAACTCAGGCTGATTTCCAAACACATGCAACACTCCCAAAGGGGAGGGGCCAGGGCACAGGAATCTGTGGCTATTTAACTTCATATCTCAAGGTTCCTATAAAAACAGATCTTCAGAAAAAAGGGGGAGGAAAGGACCACCAAAAGCAACTTCACAATGGGTGTCTTAGGTTGAAGCTATAACTTCTCCATAGTCCAGAGTCCTTAAGACCTTAACAGTGGCCAGTTATTTCAAAGGCCAGGTGTTTTCCCCTTAAAAAGGGACTGAAACTGGCAGACAGCTTCTAAAAAACTGTAAAGATATTTACTGTACTGTGTGATTCTGATAGTACACTTGTATGAGTTTTGCCAAAAAAAATCAGAAAAATACTTTTCAGTTTATCCAGGAGGTTATTACAACAATAACACATCAAGACCTACCCATGAATGCCAGAAAATATAAACTGTTATACTAAAGCTGGATAGAGAGAAGTCTGTGGCCTTATGCCTATTTCCTTTGTCTGCACAATGAAACCTATAAAGATATTTTCTACAATGTTAACTTGGAGAGCAAATGAGGTAGGGAAATTGGTTACACATTTCGCCAAAATCTTACAAACTCACATGTTCTCAACTGCAATGTCCTTGGGATTCTGGCTGTCATCCACACTGCACAGACCACGACTTCTCCAAACTTTGGAGGCAAGAAGCATGGCTCCAAGGACAATCTTTTTCCAATTAGTAGGACAAAGATCGATGTTAGCACTAGTTAAAAGTCGTTCGATGTACACCTGCAAAATAGAGCACTGCTCTTTGATTTCAGTTCAGTTTAAGTGTGGTGATACAAACATTTAAGAATGAAAGATTTCTTCTGGTTTTGACCAGAAAGTAAGTGCCTTTTATTCTTATGTTCTGTAGAGACTTTGCTCAGACAAAGCAAGAGGCCAAATCACAGTCATAGTCAGATACCTCTGCAGCCTACTCTGCCCATAGACATTTCCAGCCCAATTTCAGTCACAGGGATGACTGGACATCCCTGTGGGCATGAAGAGAGGCATCATCAGCCCCTTCACACTCATGAAAGGCAGCACAAACTCAGGCCCAGTGCAGATTAAGTTGTTCAAGCAACACTCCAGTGCCGTCCGTGTGCAGTGTCACACCTGGCTGGCAGGTAGATAGGAATTTTACAGGTGTGCCATGCTTGAAAATGTAACACCCAAGTGATACTGAGAACACTACTGTCTTCTCCTTTTCACAATAACTAACCAGCTCTTGGGACACCAGCTGAGGAACTGCGGGTCAAGAGCACTTCCCAGTGACTGCCATGCAGACAGCATGACAAGCGCAGGTCTCTGTCGCTGAGAAATAGTTCGCATATTCAGTACTTGATAAGGAATGTATGTGTATGAAAGGAGGGTCCTGCTCACAGCCCCTATTTTCCACATCTCCACAATCACTTCATGAAAACTCATTTCTTGTCCTACGGTATCTGCATTCAGTCAATTCGGTTGGCTTTTAGGCAGAGACAGCTGTCGGCCTCTGTTTCCCTGGGGTTCCTCTCAACCTGCCAAGCAGTTTGTGAGACAACCTCAGGAAGTATTTTCTGTTTATCCAATTTCTGTCCTATAAAGAACTGGGTGAGGGACCAGCTGAGCGAAGGTGACAGAGGTGAGCTGGGAGGCATTGCTACCCCAGAGGGTGCTCTGCAGAAGAGTATGTCTCTGTGTTACTTGATGTTTTTGTATCAAGACCAAAGGAAAACAGTTCATTTTAAGAGAGTTTATTCATTGTCTGAAGGTTATCAGATTGGCGGCTCAGATCGGGCAATGTTCTCCAAACTCAACTGTGTTTTCAAAATCAGATGGCTGTTGAACGCTCCCTCCCAGGGTTCAACTCCATGGGACTCATTAGAGATCACTTAAACAGTATTGGCGAGCCCTCAACCTCCTGTCACCTTTACTGGTAAGCTGTACTTGCTGACACTCGCTAATACCACTTGCCCTCCTGGGTCAGTGAGAAAGGTCCTTTTTTAACACCAACTCTTCTATCAGCGCGGTGGATCCCATCCTACTTTTGCAGAACACTGTTCCCCAAATCACTTCTTCTTGAAGACTTTCTCCCTGTCTGCCAGAGATTTCCCCTAATACAAATGTGTGTCCTGTTCCCATCCTGCTCCCCGCAGCTCCCCAGAGGCATCCTCTCATTTGCTCACAGCATCAGGCCTGTTGCCAGCTCCTCACCTCCCATCTCTCCTTAACCCACTTCACCCACCCCCATCACTCTCCTGAGACTCCTCTTGCCAAGGTCCTCAGAGTCTTGACACCTACAAACCAGAGCCCTTCATCCCAAGTCTCCACTCCCCAAGCTAGCCTTATCCTTGTCCAGGGAATTGCCATTGGCCAAGCTCCTGGGGACTAATACTTACATGTGAGTTACCCTGTTTCAATCTGTGTGCAATCCCTCTGTGCCTACCTTCACTGGTAGGCTGCCTGCTTCAGATTCTGAGCCGCCATGGGTCACGGCTCATCTACATCACCCTAGCTGATTCTTTATCCTCTTCTCTGCCCCAACCTTCCTCCCAACTGCGGTCTACTCTCCCCAAAGCAGTCGCCATCACCTCTTAAATTAAGAACACTGCACTCCCCTGCTCAAGATCTGCCATGAGTGCCCCCATCAAATTGGAGTAAAACCTGAACTTCTTCCCATGGCCTGCAAGCCAAAGGGCTCTGTGAGCCGTGGCACTGCCTGTGCGGCCTCATCTCTTCCATTCTTTTCTTCATTCCTCTCACCACATGGGCCCCTCCTGTTTGTTCCTTGAACACACATGAAATGTGTTCCTGTCTCAGTCTTGGCACTCATCCCACTGCCTGTCATTGCCAGCCCTCCTTATTGTCCTTGCTTTATAGTCAGGTCACTGTTCAAATGTGACCCTCTAGAGAGGCTCTTCCTGATCATTCTATCTGAAATAGCCCCTCCCATCATTCTCTATTTATCCTGCTTTATTATTTTGCTATTTGCCATAACCTAAAAAAATGCTTTCCTCATTACAACATAAGCTGATAAAGACAAGCACTGTGTTCAACCTGTCCTCTTCTCTACCCCAGCACTTAGGAGAGTGGGACAGGGTCGGCATCCAGCAGGTGTTTATGGAATGGACAACTTCTTGCAGCATTTAGCACTGTGACCACAGTCTTTCCTGTCTTGAACCTGTGTTCTTCTTTTATTATCCTCTCCTGCTTTTCCTCCTCCCACTCTCGCCACTTTACTGGGGGCTTGTCCCTTACATGCTGGTAGTCCTTACAGAGCTATCTTCTGTCCATCTTCTTTTCTTTTCCTTTTTAGAGATGGGGAGTTGCTATGCTGCCCACGCTGGACAGAAACTCCTGATCTCAAGTGATTCTCCTGCCTCAGTCTCCTGAGTAGATGGGACTATAGGTGTGTCCCACCATGCCCTGCTTCTCCACTTCCATTCTAAATACTTTCTCTGCATTTGAGCAGCTACTCTCTTTTTTTTGAGACAGAGTTTCACTCTCATTGTCCAGGCTGGGGTGCAGTGGCACTATCTCGGCTTACTGAAACCTCTGCCTCTCGGGTTCAAGTGATTCTCCTGCCTCAGCCTCCTGAATAGCTGGGATTACAGGTGCCTGCCACCACACCCAGCGAATTTTTTGTATTTTTAATAGAGACAGGGTTTCACCATGTTGGTCAGGCTGCTTTCGAACTCCTCACCTCAGGTGATCTATCTGCCTCAGCCTCCCAAAGTGCTGGAATTACAGGTGTGAGCCACTGTGCCCAGCTCAAGTACCTGCTCAAGAGAAGCAGGTACTCTTACTCCTCATTCCTTATTTCCAGTTCAGATTCATGCTCCAGTCCCATAGATCCAAATGTTGACTGCACACGGCCACTCTGCTATCTTACAGGCACACCAAATTTAGCCTGTCTACAGTGAACTCCCCCTTCTTCCAATCCAGCTTTCCCTCCAGCTTCAGCTCTCTCTCTCCAGCTGGAAGTTCCACTCCTGCTTCCCGCCAGCATGTGCTGAAATTCCAAAGGGCCTGCAGCTCAATGAAGAGGCCTATGTCTGATCCAATCCCACGGAGGGATTTCTATGCAGGTGCCTAGCAGAAGCCTTCTTTTCTAAGCTCTAGCCAGATGCTAAAGGAGAGGATATCTTTTATCTCCTGGCTGTGTGGTTGACATTCCTCTACAGGTTAGTGTGGGGAGGGGTAAACCAATCCCAGTCATCTGAAGAGGAATTCATATTCAGAATGAGTCTCACCACAGGAATTGTGTGAGAATGATGTAGAGGTGAGAACACAGCCACGGCTTAGCAGGCTATCTAGCAAAGCCTGTGTCCAAGTCTTACTGGTACCACATTCCTGAGCTATTTCCGGAGCAGGCACAAGAGGTCAGCAGGAACAACAAAGCATTCAGACTCCCAGTCACAGCATGCATCAGAAGTGCCCGGGGAATATGGCCTGGGACTCAGCTTAGACCTACATGGGGAATATGGCCTGGGACTCAGCTTAGACCTACATTGGAATCTGTTGAGGGAGAAACTAGAAATCTCTCCTGCTGCCTTTAATAGCAATTATTCTGTGATAAGAAAAAAAATGGCATCATTTTAAACCACAATGATGATTAAATTCAAATATGTGTATTTACTTTGCTTGCACAGGTTTCTCTGAAAAGATCTGATGATAATTTCAGGAATCTACTTTTGGTTAGAAACACGGCCATACGCTGTGTAGGAGACCAGTTGTTAAAGATGCTTTTTAGATAAGAAATATCTTACCAAAGCTACGATGGCACATGGAGCTGTTAGTTTTATGATTTGAAAAAGAGTACAGAAATATCTGAAAATACAGTTGCGTTTGGGATCATCCTCGAAGGATTTCCCTGGAGCTTCCTCTTGCTGAAAGAAGAAAAAAGACAATATAAATATCCACTCAAGAAAACTTTTTAGACCTCTTAAGATGGCAATGTTCACATTTGTGCCCACGTGTCCCTTGCAACAATTTTGATGGGATAAATGTCTTTTAATTTTAGAAATATAAACAGCAGGATCTTAAAATATTTTTGGTTTCCTGTAAACACAGATGCTAAGGTGGTCCTGTGGCTATCACATATCTGAAGAAGGAGGTTTTTAAATTTTTATAGCATTTAAACGGATTTAAATTTAAGTTGTTTTCTAATTCTATTCACAGAGATTGTGCATATGTGTTAGGACTACTTACAAATACTTACACTGTTTACTGCTATCGAAAATTATTTTTTTAAATGACACATTTTGTTATCTGGATGGTATATTTACTCCCCTTAGCGCACTAATTAAACAAAGCTGCAAGTCAGCTCTTGCTCCAGCATGCCCAACTGACAACACTCCTTATATAAGATGATTAAACACAACAGAGGCAAGACTTAAAGGTGGGTGATTTTGACTTCAGCATGAACTACATACAACTCTGAGACAAAAATAGAACCTCAAAGAAAGTGACACTTACTGAAAGTGGATGTATTGACTCTTCAAAAATAGCCAGAGATCTATTTGCATATCTATAAAATAAGAATGTGCATTTAAGAAATTAATTCAGGAATTGTTAACATCTTGGTGAAGTATCTGCTGGGAGTAGGACATGGAGGGTGGAGGGAGATACATCTTGTTTGCTTTGGTAAAATTCGTTCACCAAAACAGTTTTTGCACATAATGTCCTGAACTGTGAAGTCTTGTCTACATTGATGAGCCAGACTTGCCTTTAAATATTGACCCCCACTGCTAACAGGAATGGTAATAAACTATATCTGTTTTCACTCCTCTGACCTCATGCTGGAACACAAGACCATTTTATAAAGCAGTAGCGGTTGCCAATAAAGTGTTTAGAACTTTTAATAAATGTGAATGAGATTCAGATTTCCCAAATCTTCCTTTATTATACATTTATCATATTTGTTTAAGTAGTTTGAGTTATAAACTTAATTGCCTTATTTTAAAAGAGGTCAGTCTTGAATGAACTTTAAAAAACTAACACATTGTGTGCTCACTTAGGAAACCAGTGGTTCTCCAAATGTGGTTTGTGTACCCCTGAGATTCCCTAGGAGGTCCATGATGTCAAAACTTTCTTTTTTTTTTTTTGAGACAGGGTTTTGCTCTTTCACCCAGGATGGAGCACAGTGGTACAAACATGGCTCACTACAGGCTTGACTCCCTGGGCTCAAGCATTCCTTCTGCCTCAGCCTCCCAAGTAGCTGGGATGAAATGTGCACACCACCATGCCCAGCTAATTTTAAATTCTTTTTTGATATAGATGGGGTCTTGCCACATTACTCAGGCTAGTCTCAAACTCTTGGTCCAAGTAATTCTCCCACCTTGGCCTCCCAAAGTACTGGGATTACAGGTGTCAGCCACCACCTATGGCCCAAAATGTTCTTATAAGAATACTAATTCAACCTGAGAAGCTGATTGAAAATAAAACATAAGAATAATTTATTACTTTCTGAAAGTATTAAGACATTGCTTGCTTTCTCACTGTCAACACTTGTAATGATTTCATAAAAGCAAAAGTGGGTAAAACTGCTGGCTTCTCAGTATGAATAAAGGCCATGGTGCCAAATTATACTAGTATTCATTCCACTCTTCACTGCCCCTTGCAGTTTTTGTTAAAGTAGCCTGCTTCACTTGATAATGTCCTTGATGAAACAGTAAAAAATAATGGTGTTATTAAATCCTGAACTCTCTTTTTGGTATTCTAAGTAGGAAGTTCACATAAAACACTTCTGCATACTGGAGTATGGTCATGTTAAAGAAAAGCACTTGTGATTTCATTGTGCGCTGAACAAGCCAATTTTTCACAGAACACCATTTCCATCTGAAAGTATGACTGACTGTCATTCTCAAAAAAGAAGTCAAGTGAGTCTGTCATTTCAAGGAAAATAACAAGAATTTGTTGTCTATAATAAAGCTAAAGCTTTCAAGCTAAAAATCAGGACTTGGAAAATTCATACCTACTACTGGGAGCTTGACAGCGTCTCAATATTTGAAGATATTTTTATAATCATGGTGATACTTATGAAAGTGAGTTTTTTTGACACTATATATGAATATGAAGTAATATTTTCCAAATAGCCAGTGCATAATATTATAAAAGCCAATGAGGGGAAAGATCCATTTATTGTACAAGAAAGATCCATGAGTATTAGTGGAATGAATTCATTGATATGTACAATCCCATTATAACTGTTTTAACAAATCAGCACTTGTGAAGTTTTGGTGTGGTTAAAGGATACCCACAATTACTTGAAAGCTTTAAAAATACACATTTTTTCCTACTATATATTTGCATGAGGCTAGTTCATCTTTTTCTTTCTTCTTTACAATAAATTGCAAACAAGACATAAACAAATACACTTTGAGATCCTCAATAATTTAAGGGTTAAAAGACTCTTGCAGACCAAAAACCCCACAAATGATTCATTTTAATGCTGTAAGATAAGCACTCTACAGCTTATAATGTCTATAGTTAAAACCTAACAGCGTGTGTCATATTATACAAAGTGATGAGCTGGAGTAACAAGGCAGGTTTTCAAAGAGCTCACCTGTGCTTTATGTTGTAATATATTGCCGAAGTCACACTGTGGAGGGGAAGGAAACATATTTGTAAGAACTGATTTTATCATTTGTTAGGCCTGAATATATGTCTTTAAAAGGAGAGGACGGAATTCTCTTAGTTGCCCTGAAATCTTCTTGTTCAAAACAGTACTATATGAGCACTTTTCTTTTGTTTTAGCTCTCTGGCTTTGTAGTGAAAATAGGAGAACCAAAATGCTAGGCAATATGCTGTTAGAAGATGTTTCTGCTGGTGGTTATTATATATAAATAATGACATATTTTCCCTGTCACTTGCTCTTCTACCCATAGAACCTTTCATCCCGTGCAAGTCACTCACATCTATGTGTACATATGTTTACATTTAGGCCATATAGTAGTGTTTTGCTTTTTTAGTGGCTAGGCCCTGCATTTCAGCTGATTTAGTTCACCGTCACCTACTCACCCATTTGTCATTATTTCCCTAAAAGCACATAATGAATGTGCTTTATATCAAATAAAGTAACTTAAAATCACCTATGCATAATTATTAGCGGAAAATTTATTAGTAAACATAATGCACACAAAAATTGATGACACTTGTAGCTATCCTGAAATAAGCAGCACTGAACACACAGTGTAACACTGCATCATAAAATACTCATGACAGGTGTTTCCACATTCGTTTAAACAAAATATTAGTGAACAAATGCAACTCTTCAGATGTATGTTACTGTGGTCCTAAGTCATCCTCAGATGTTGTGTGTCAGCAAACAGGGGCTTCTCTTGGATAAGTTGTGTGCTTCCATTTGCCCTCAGCATTTAAAATGAGGCTCACAATAACTTGAGAAGGCAAATTTGGGTTGTAAAAAGTAGGCCTTACAACATTATTAGCCTCTAAGATGGATATTTCTATAGTGCCTCAAACAGTTTCATCTCCAAATTGATTTCAAAATCACAGAACTTAAAGTTACATGCTGAAAAGGACCACTGAACCTTACATGACACCCATTTTACAAATAAGAGAACCAAGGCTTCAAACTGATTTGCCCAAGGTCCCCAAATAGTGCTTTTGTGAACTGCAGGTGTTCACAAAACACCATGGTATGGTTTCAATTTAAGCATATGCACAAATACATAGAAATGACTTGCACAGACGAAAAGCTTTATGGGTAGGAAGAAGAGCAAATGATAGGGAAAACGTATAATTTATACGTTAGAACCATCACTCCTCCACGCAAAGGAAGCAGTGGCCACCTTGTTTGATGCACACTGGATCACCCGAGGAGCTTTTAAAATGGCTTCACCGCCAGCTGGAGACATTCTGATTTAATTGACATTGGGTGTGATTTGGGCATCAGGGTTGTTGGTAAAGTTCCCCAGGTGATTTCAATGTGCAGCAAAGTTTGGGAATGACTGAGTTAGGGTTAAGGTCAGAATCATCTGAGATGCTTTTATCCATAAAATGATGCCTCACATACTTAACCGTTTTTCTAAAACGCTTGTGAGTGCCCAGAGATGGAGGGAATGTGGAGCTGGGAAGATGCATGTGTTTGCAAACATATACTTTGAAGAAACATGTATATGTGATTCTAGTATGGCTCACTCATCCCTTGGAGAACAATGGACTACTAACCATGAAAAACATTTTTCAAAAGCCAATTTGCTGTATTAATTTGCTCAGTAAATCTTTATTTAATCAAAGTAAATATATCAAACGATCCCTTCTAAAATTTGAGAGCAAATTAAAACTAACTGTATTTCAAAAATAGACTTCTAGGCCAGGCATGGCAGCTCATGCCTGTAATCATAGCACTTTGGGAGGCTGAGTTGGGTGGATTGCTTGAGCCCAGGAGTTTGAAACCAGCCTGGCCAACATAGCAAAACCCCGTCTCTAAAAAGGAAAAAATATATGTATTTTAGAAAAACTTGTAAGACTTAGATGACGCTGGAAGAAAAAGCAGAACCTCTACTTGTTTGAGCAAGGTGAAGCTTAACAACTGCTTTTGAATTGCGTACTGAAACATCAGAATCTTTTGAAATCAGAAGAAACCAGGGACTTGAGCCAAAACAGAGTGCTGTTTTACTCAGGGTTGAATACAAACATTAAGTGATGACTCCATAGAGGCCAAAGCTCAGGGCTTTAGACATAGATGGAGTCTAGTTCCTACTGAAACAGAATTTGATCTCAATAATTGTTATACCTGAGAGCGGAAAGTGACATTATTATGAGTAAAAATTTACCATTTTTAATTAAATTAGGTTACTGACAAATTAGCTTAAAAAGCTAGTACATTAGAAACAAAATTAAGCTTGTAAGCTAGTCATGTTTATAGACTGGAAAGTTAAGTTAGGGATAAGGACATTAACATTCAAAGGTAGACTTCTCAAACTGTTTTCCTGAAAATCAGCACTCATAATCTAAGGAGATGTTAATAATATTCTGTGGACATCTCCAATGGAACTGGGCTTTGTTGTGACTTTTTAAAAAAAATTTATTTTATTTTATTTTATGACAAAGTCTCTCTCTGTTGCCCAGGCTAGAGTGCAGTGTCGCGACCTCTGCCCACTGCAAGCTCCGCCTCCCGAGTTCACACCATCCTCCTGCCTCAGCCTCCCAAGTAGCTGGGACTATAGGCGCCCGCCACTGCGCCTGGCTAATTTTTTGTATTTTTGGTAGAGACGGGGTTTCACTGTGTTAGCCAGGATGGTCTCGATCTCCTGACCTCCTGATCTGTCCACCTCAGCCTCCCAAAGTGCTGGCATGAGCCACTGTGCCCGGCCTGCTGTGACTTTTTAAAGAAACTTGAACCCGTCTTTCAAGGGTATTTTGAAAAGTCATGTGTGATTGTGGCCTATGAAGTGCTCATGCATGATGGGAAAATTTAAATGCAGATACACTATGGCACCACTGGAGGACAAGCTATTCCTTCTTCCAAGAGTACTTTCCAAAGTAGTACTCATCGTCTTAGGCCTAATAATTTTTCACAGAAACATCCAATAAAAAGCACCTCTCCTTCCCATTAGGTTCAACACTGTCATAACATAAATGCATCAAATAAATAGCTACACTGTTTCTGGGATTGCTTATTTGCTCTCTGGCTTTCCCTTCTACCACACAGCATCTGAGGTTAAAAGAGAAACAGAAAATTCATATTTAGGTCCCAGCAATCCATATATCATTGACATCAATTTCTTAAACTGCTTGCTGAAAAGGGAAACCAAATGGCTGAGATGACAGAGGATGCCTGGGATGCTTTTAGCATATGGGCGTCTGTCACTCAGCCCTTGGCAGCCTCATTGTACTCACCTTTCTAGTGTGTGTCTAAGATCAGGCTGGCTGACTGTGCTGTTATCTAGCAATATGGTGGAACATGAGCTGTATTTTCTATCAAGATGCCATGGCGGTATCTGAAGGAGAAAGAAGATAGAGAAAAATGTCACAGTAGGCTGAACTTACAAAAGTGTGGACTGTTTTCCTTAGTCAAAATGTCCAACAATAAAGCATTAAGGTATTTCTTATGCCCCGTGACCTGCCTGAGTGTGGTATCGTGAGCAGCTCTATGGGAAACTCATTGGGGGTGCTTCACTTCTGCAGGTGATGTTCGAGGAATGGGTTATAAAATGCTGCCCTTGCTATGATACCAATCATCAAACCTGGCTCTATTATGAATTCCCTTTATAAATAATGGGAAAAGTTTAAAATAAGATTTCATGTTCTTTTAATTATGCAGTAAAAAGCAGCTGAGATTTTCTATTTCTATTATTCATTAACTACAACAAAACGTCATACATGAAAAAATATTGGCACAAGACCATTTTTATTGCAGCAAATAAAGACCTAATACTACATTCACTAAATTGCTAATCCTAAGTGTGCTCATTCAAGAGACAGTGTGATGGAACCAGCGTTTTAGTGTCAGAGACTCTGTGTGCCAGGGCGGCTCAGTGACCAAACAAGTGAGGGGCCATAGGTTTCTCTGGGCCTGTTTCCTTGGGGGAAGACAGAAAAAGTACTGCTTTAAGACTCTCTCACATCTGAAAATGAGATGATGAAAACAACTTTGGGAATTTAACTTTCACTTCATGTTTACATAAGACTGCTATTACATTACTCAAATGAGAACCTCTGAGAATACTTTGCATTCATTTCAAAAGTTGATTGATTTTATCCTGTAAGTTATTTGACACACGTCATGGCACGTTTCTGCCTCACTCATGCTGCTCTCTGCCTGGAATAGCTATTTCCTCCTTGTCCCAGCAAGCTTCACCTCCTCTGCCTTCTGGGATCTCTCTGCCAGCAGCCACACCACAAAACATTTCCGGTTTTGTGTACTCCTCAGTCTAATTCACCATTTGTTACATGATAGCAGTTGCCTGCAGAGCATCCCTCTGGTGAGAAAGTAAGCCTCTCCAGGGGAGGGAGGGCCCTTCCTCTCCTACCTGCAGCTGCTGAGCACAGAATGTTGGAGAAATTAAGGTGTTCAATAAGTGCTTGACAAGTTATTTAAATCGGTTACAATTTGGAAGGTAAATCTTCCTACAGTTACAAATCGGTGAAAATCTATCTGCAGTGCTATCAGAGAGGTTACAGTGAACCTTTCCAGCCCTCTAGAAAATAAAGTATCTCTAAAACACTTTAAAAGTATCTATTCATTTGTCAAGAGTGCAACAGTCAATATGGAAACTGCCTCATCTATGTCTAAAAAAATGCTCTTCTTGGCCGGGCGCGGTGGCTCACTCCGGTAATCTCAGCAGCTTGGGAGGCTGAGGCGGGTGGATCATGAGGTCCGGAGTTCAAGACCAGCCTGGCCAAGATGGTGAAACCTCCTCTCTACTAAAAATACAAAAATTAGCTGGGTATGGTGGCGGGCATGCCTGTAATCCCAGCTACTCAGGAGGCTGAGGCAGAGAATTGCTTGATCCTGGGAGGCGGAGCTTGCAGTGAGCTGAGATCCGGCCACTGCACTCCAGCCTGGGCAACAGAGCGAGACTCCATCTCCAAAAAAAAAAAGTACACAGTATTTAAAAATTGCCTGTAGCCAGTAATCAGAAATATCCATACAGTCTAACACCATTTTGCTTGTTTTAGATGCTTTTTACTGTAAATTCACTTACTTCTTAACAAAAATGCCAGATGTTTTTGAACAATATTACTATATGAAGGACCGAATTTTCCTTCAAGGTAGAAATGTTTTAACTCTAGCTAAACTCTTGTGTTTCTTAAGCTATTCTATTAATATGTATACTTTACATTAACAGTGTATGTGTGTCGATGTACATACTTTTATTGCCTCAAAAAACAAATATACTATGAAAAATGAAAATTGACTCATTCAGACACTTTCATTCCAAATGAAAGAAGGTATCCCTTAAGGTCACTACTATTAGGGGTAATACAGCATAATACTACACCATAACAAAAGTTGTTTCTGAGGAAAAAATCCATATATGAGAATAAAAACAACAGAAAAAAAAATGTACCCAAACACAGACTAGTTGGTACAGCTTTAGATGATATCTGTCCCCATTTTGTTCTATTTAAAATTTCGTATAATGAACATATATTGTTTTTTGTTTTTGTTTTGTTTTGAATTCTTGCTCTGTTTCTCACCCTGGAGTTCAGTGGCCTGAACTCACCTCACTGCAATCTCTGCTTCCCAAGTTCAACCAATTCTCCTGCCTCAGCCTCCTGTGTAGCTAGAAATACAGGTGTGTGCCACCATGCCGGGCTAATTTTTGTATTTTTAGTAGAGACAGGGTTTCACCATTTTGGCCAGGCTGGTCTTGAACTCCTGGCCTCAAGTGATCCACCTGCCTCAACCTCTCAAAGTGCTAGGATACAGATGTGAGCCAACATGCCCAGCTCTCAAGATCACTTTTTTCTCCCCATTTTTTCACAAGACATGTTTCAGATATTTTTAAAATAATTAATGACTTTTAGCTAACTTAAAAATTTCTAACACTTTGTGCACTAACAAAAACAGTTCCATCTATGTTGTACAGCAATAGGACCACATGGCAGGTATGGAGTTTGAATAGAATTCTTACACAAGGCCTGAGTGGAAAAGTGTAATATGCTTATTGTAGGTAAAAATAGAAATTGTCTGAATTAATGTATAATTATATCAAATTTAAACTTAGATTTACACTTATATATGGGTTCTAAATTTGGATTAAATATGATGGATTGACCAGAAATTTATTTTCTCTTCCTTCTGAAATCTCATTAGCATTAGTCATAAAATAAACATTATATACAGGACCAGGAGACAGGATAGACGGCAGATGATTCTGAGTCAATGCTGCGAGTTGAAAAGCAGATAGAGGAGTGGCAACTGACATGGAAGCACAACTTTGGAGCTGGCAGGGAGTGACTGGAACAGAAACAAGCAATCTTGTTTGAAGAACCCAACCCAGGCTCCAAAATCAGAGGCACATGGTACCTGGGAAGGTAGCGTGAAATATACAAGACCAGCAAGTTCAACTATAAATCTGTGCTTAGAGCCTCAAGTCTACCTCTCCTCCCATCTTATAAGGAATTTGGAAAGTCTACCTCTCCTCCCATCTTATAAGGAATTTGAATGTGTATTCTCTGGATATATTATACCTGAGGGTTTCTGGGCTCAGAGCTACAAGGGCTGAAACCTGGGAAATGGGAATAAATTGCACACACAAAGTGAAACTCCACCTTCTTTCCCAACCCTGCTTCTGGAAAGCCAGCAGCCATGCTTGCACTGCCCAGGCAGAAAATTGGGAGACCCTTCTTGGAAGAAAACTGAACCAATGCAAAGAAAATACCCTCATACCCTCATATGATACACTGAGGTCCCCCAAAACAAAAGCTGGCTTGACCTCCAAATCCCCACAATGAGACCCCTCAGTGAACAAAGGTCCTGCTTCCAAATAGAGACAGCCAAAGGCCACCGCACATCTGAGGGAAGCCTCCAATAAGAGTTCAAAATAACAGGAAAAAGGAATTCCTGGGACCAGTAAAAATTCAGGAGCAAAACTTTTTAAAAAATCTTAAAATAATCTCCTTCAGGAGATTAAAAAAAAAGTCAATAGAAGGGTTAGCGCAGAAAGTCAAAGAATCTCTAAGAAGCAGAGCAAAAGACAAATTGGAAAATAGGAGGGGAAGAAATTAAAGATCAATGCAGAAATACTGGTCTAAGAGGCTCAATATCTGAATCGTAAGAATATTAAAATAATAATAATACAACAGAGAAAATAGGACAATTCTCTAAAAGAGATAGTCTGAAGGCTTAATGGCCACAATAAAATAAAAGGTTCCCACGAAGCTGTATTATACAATTTCAGAATCCCAGGAATAGCGAAGGTCCTAAAAAGCTCGAGAAATGTAAAAATGTGTTACATATGATGTATCACACAATGGCAATAGTTTCAAGAACAGTATAATGAAAACACAATACAGAAATGTCTTCAGAGCCATGAAATTTAGTTTTTGCTGTAGGATTTTATACTCTATAACAAAGGAGGGGTTTTGAGAGAGGCTAGATCTCTATACATGTGTGCCCATGAGCTTTTCCTCAGAAACTGTGCTCCAGCACCACTGGGGAGTAACATAAGGCAGAGGGCAATGCACAGTCTAGGACTCAGGGATCCAATGTGAGTGGTCACAGAAGAGTTCAGAGAGAGCTCCCAGGCAAACAGGCTCAGGGCAGCCTAGGGAAACACAGTCTATCCTGGAGGAGGATAACTAAAGGCCAAGGAAAGTTGCTTCCAGAGAAAACATGGAACATATGTTTTAGTAGATAAAATATTATTTTTGATAGGCATGTGACAAATGTTACAACACTTGGGGAAGAATAGCTGTCAAAAAAGAGGCAAAGGAACGTAGTCAGAAAATTAATTCCACACACAAAATAATGACGGATGTGAAAACAAAGAGGCCAGCTGGGGGCTAATGGTCCCATTTGGCTTTATGAGCTATCATGGACTAGGAAAAGGGGGGTTATCTGGGAGAAGTGCAGAAGAGTTCAGATTTCAGAACTATTTCAGAGAAACAATGAAGGATGTACAAGGAGGAGGCACAGTCAGAATACTGCATGACTCAGCAGTGAATAATATGTGCATGGTCATAATCATGTAAATATCAATTAGTGATTTAATAAAAATGTGTTTCAGGTGGAAGAAACGGGGAGGGAAATAAGGTCACAGTGGAGTGAGGAAGCTATGCTTTCACCTGCTACGACAGGAAGTCAGCAGAAAGTGTTGAAGAAAGTGGATTTAGCTATTTTTAATTTTATTGGAATACAAAAGATTAAATATTTAAGGCACAATTTTTATCACAACCAAATTGTGTAACTTAAATGTCAGACACCCTTAAACATGGTCACAGTAAGCTAAAGACTTACTTACTTAAAGTATAAACCTGATACTGAGGAAAATAGAAGAGATTTAGAAAATCCACCAAAAAATGATCATGCGAACAGCACTGACTCCCTGTTAAATTTTCAAGGAATCATGACAGAGTTTTAATTCAAACAATTAATTTCTTAACTTTTCAAAAGCTTACTTACATAATATAGGTGAGAGCTCCTCCTCTTTTCTTGCACTAAGAATGAAAAAATAACTAATCAGTTCTGGCATAAATACCATAGGATAAAAGTAGTTGCTAATCATCTGATTATCACTATATGAGATAAATTTCCATTTTTAAAAATTCTTACCAACAAAATTTATAATTTAAATAATCTGGCATGATGAATCTCATAAAGTAAAATCTAAAAATATAGTTTACTTTTTGACCTAACAAATATTCTATTGCACAAAAATGAAAGAATCCCCATGTACACAAGGAAAGGCAAAACAAATTAGGCAATGTGTGTGCCCTCCAAGTCTCATGTTGAAATGTAGTCCCCAGTGCTGGAGGTCGGGAAGTATTTGGATCATGGGGGCAGATTCCTCATGAATGGCTTAGCGCCATCCCCTTGGTGATGAGTGAGTTCCTGCTCTGAGTTCATGCATGATCTTCTTGGGTTTTTGTTGTTTGTTGTTTGTTGTTGTTGTTGTTGTTGTTCTGAGATGGAGTCTCACTCTGATGCCCAGGCTAGAGTACAGTGCCGTGATTATGGTTCACTGCAACCTTGACCTCCTGGGCTCAAGTGATCCTCCCACCTAAGCCTGTGGAGTAGCTGGGGCTGCAAGCATGCACCACCACACCTGGCTAATTTTTAAATGTTTTGTAGAGACAGGGTCTCATTATGTTGGCCAAGGCTGGTCTCAGACTCTGGCCTGAAGTGATCTGCCTGCCTCAGCCTCCCAAAGCGCTGGGGTTACGGGCATGAGCCACTGCACCTGGCCTGATCTGCTTGTTTAAAAGCAGGCAACACCTCCCACTCTCTCTTGCTCCTCTCAATACGTGAGAGATGACTTCACCTTCCACCATGATTATTAGGTTCTTGAAGCCCTTGCCAGGAGCAGATGCTAGCACAACACTTTCTGTATGGCCTGTAGAACTGTGAGCCAATAAAGCCTCTTTTCTTTCTAAATTATCCAGTCTCAGGTATTCCTTGATAGAAATGCCAAAATACAGGACAGATGAGAAATTTAGCTGGTAAAAAATTTACCTATTGTATATACGAACCCCTAAGCAGTAGTGTTTTCTGATTCTACATTTACACATAGTTTACTTTCATTGGCAGGATCTGATAGCTGACAGCTCTAAGAACCAGTTTCTGGCCAGGAGCCAATCTCTAGATGCACTAGAATCCCTGCAAGCATCCCAAATGACTTATCGGTCATCTACTAATATGTCACTAAAAAAATAAATGGGTCTTTACACAACTGAAAAGTAGCCTATCTTAAACTCAAATGTTAAAATGAGTGTGCCAACATAATTGAACATGGCATCCTTAGCACACAAAATCATTTTGTTCTAACACAGGTCCAAAGAAAAAAAGCTACAAGGAGAACTTGGGCCACACTTTGTTCCCTACAGTGCCTCCTGCTTTGAAGTTGAACTGGTCTCACTGACACACATTTCTCAGTGCTGAAGGGACAGGGACATAGGGTAGGTTTTCTTCTACTTCCATACACTCCATGTGTGAGAAGCCCATGGCTCTGGAACAAACTGAGAAATACAACAATCCTAACCAGAAGTTACCAGCTCAAGACAGGCAAAGTTGACACAAACTATGAAAATGCAGGGGAGAAACCCATGTTTTATTGTGCGGCATTACTTCAGATGTTATTATAGAACCCCCACTTCTTGTATTCTTGCTATTGAAAATAACTGAAAAACATGGTGTATGGCTTTTTTGAAAATAAAGTGAGATTTAACAGAATGTCACAAAAAATAAGCAGGAGTACAGAAAACTCCTACAGTTCTATTCTCATCCTAAAACAAGCAGGATGTGGAAACTTTACACTAGTTTCACACACTGAGGCTAACCTGGAAAACAGCACAGGCCATGTTTACCTTTCCATTACATTCGAATGAAAAAGTTCTGAGTAGCATGAACATGGATGTGATAGGCTTGTGTGGTTAGAGCACTGTGTAAAAAGGAGGCCAGAATCACAGATCCAATCTAGAACAATGGATTCTTTTGATTTGTTCAAGTGAAATCCAAGCTGTAGCCTAAATCCTATCACTCATCATTAAAATGTACTCTTTGGAGCAAGGGAAAAATGGCAAAGATGTATGAAGAAAAAGGCATAAATCCATGACTACTAAACTAAATCATGTGGCCAATTAATTGCATTGATAAAAGTGTCACCAAATGTGTAAACACAAAGTCTGCATGTTTCCATGAACAGTGACAACTAAAGGAAATTATGTCACATATTAATTTAAGACATGTAAATATATGAAAAGTTGAAAAGTTTTAACTAATATCTGAGTTCCTCTAAGGACTTTCTGTAATACACGAAACAGGTTGTAGTTTTTTGCTTGGAGGAAGAAGCAATATTGTCTTACCACTCATATGATATTTTCTCAGGAAGAGTGTGTTTTCCCTTGGATAGTCAGAAGCAAAATCTGTAGAGGAAGAAGAAGGAAAAATGTAATAATTTAGATGAGCAGAAAAAATTCTTTTTAAAGCTACACATCCATTTTAATCACTTTTAACAGTCTTGAGAAAAGTTTTTAGTGATAAATGTAAAGAAAATAAAGAACACAATGTCCCAATTCTACTGGAGAATGCAAAAAATCACAGAAGTTCTCCACATATGTGGAATAAAACCAGGCTGTGTCTGGGACTTCTTTTTAAAACTTGCACCTAAATAAACTGATGCAACTTGTAGATATACATGCCCTCCTCCTTCTTCTTATCAAATAAAACCACCCTCCTCTATGCTGCTATTACCAGCACATTTTAGGGAAAGTCTCAAGCAGCAAGTGATGCTGTGGTCAATTACTGTCAGACACTGGCTCAATATGTCAAATATGTAAAAACAAAGAGCTGTTTTGGGCAAAAAACAATGTTTTAAAGAGACAGGGTCTCACTCTGTTGCCCCAGCTGGAGCGGTGCAATGGTGCGATGGAGCCAGCGTAGCTCACTGAAGCCTCAAACTCCTGGGCTCAAGAGATCCTGTTGCAGCTGAGACTATTGGTGCAAGCCACCATACCTGGCTAAGGTTTAATCTTTTTTTTTTTTTTTTTTGTAGAGACAGGGTGATATATGAGACATACATGGAAATGTGTTGTAAATCCTAAAGAATGATATAAAGAGTCTATTTTGGGCTCTCATCCAGCACTATCCATCTACTGCCTAGTGTGTAAAACCACTCAGAGGCTTACCTCACACCACCAAACAAGGAACAACATTCACAAGTACTTGCATGCTTTGTGTATAAAGGTACAATTCATTCACATACTGTCTTTGTTCATTCTTTCACGATTTGTGAATATTCTGAGAGTACAGTACTTTCCATCTACAAAGGCACATTCATCATGAAGCTTAATAATTCTAACGTTTAAATAAATTAAGAGGCCAACCAAAGTTTAAACAGAAGAGCTGTAAGACACTTCCTCTATAGGAATGAAATCTGTAGCATACATTTTCTATTTTGAAAACTTAGTTTTCCGCCAGCCTGGGGGGATGAGAAAGGGGCCAGAACTGGGCACTGGGGTAGGGAGGAGGAAAGAAACCACCAGATGCAGCAGGTAAAAAAAAATGGGGGTGGAGGGGCTGGGCACGAGGCAAGGGCAGTCCTCCTGCCTGGTGCCTGGGCCTAGGAAAACTGGCTAGGGGCAGGAGGGAGGAGCCCGAGGCTGTGGATGCCTCTAGGGGGGACCTTGGGTCAGCAGCGGCCAAAGATGCACCTGAGGGCAAACAGTATCAGTCGCCTCCTTACCTTTGGGCGTCTCCTGGTCGCTGATGTTCTGCAAGTCATGGCCCTGGCGGGCTCCCAAATACGACTGAGCAGGCTCCACATCAGTGGGGTGTGGCGCTACTGCCACCTCCGCCTCCATGAGGTTATAGCTGCAGAGCGGTTCCGCCCACCGCACCCTGCGCTGACTTGGCTTGAGGCTGGCATTAGGGAGCAGCATGTTACATCTGCAGCGCCTCTGCTCCTCTCTGCCTTGGCCTACACCATTGCTTGACGCTGCCTCATAGATGTCAGCGCTGCAGGACAGCTCCCCAGACCTCCTGCGCTGGCCCCGCTTGGGGCTGGCGTTGGTGCCGAAGCAACAGCTCAGCGTGTTCCCCATGGGGTAGCTCGGGTCCTCTCCAGCAGCTTGGGTCTTCCCTTGCTTCCAAGTCTGCAGAGCTTAGCACTTCCACCTCTTCCCAGCAAAGGCACGCTGGCAGGGCCAGCCCCTGGCTATGGGGCTGCACCCCACCAGCAGCCCGCACCCCGCCTCAGCCGCCTCCCCTGAGCTGACTTGGCTGCAAGGGTCCCTTGGGAACCTGCTTGGTTTATTTAGAACGGGTCTAGATGCAACAAGCCTGAGAGCTGTGATTGCGGAGAAGAGAGCACAGACGGAGCTCCTCCTCCTCCTTCACTGCTTCCCACCAACTGAAGGAGGTTGCCCTGCCAACCGCCAGAGCTCCCTCCTGGTTCGCAGGAACCAATCAGGCCCAGAGTACCTTCCACGCGCCCCCGCCCCATTGTGAGGTGGGAGGCTAGGCACCTGGCTCACCAGGCCCCGCCCTGCTGGCAGCCCCGCCCCCACCTTTCATTCATTGCTAGCTGCTGGGAGCTTTCAGGTTTCTCCACTGTGAGGAAGATCTGATGGTTTCAGCAAAGGAAGAGCCTTGTGTAAAAGAAAACCGGGCCTGGAGCGGTGGTTCACATCTGTAATCCAAAACTTTGGGAGGCCGAGGCGGGCAGGTCACGAGGTCAGGAGATCGAGACTATCCTGGCTAACATGGTGAAAACCGGTCCCTAGTAAAAATACCAAAAAAAGCCGGGTGTTGTGGCACGCGCATGTAGTTCCAGCTACTCGGGAGTTGAGGCAGGAGAATCGCTTGAACCTGGGAGGCGGAGGTTGCAGTTAGCCAAGACCGCACAGCTGCACTAAAGCCTGGGCGACAGAGCAAGATTACGTCTCTCAAAAAAAAAAAAAAAAGAAAGAAAGAAAGAAAAAGAAAAAGAGAGGGAGGGGAAGTGAGGAGAGGAGAGGAGAGAAAACCACACATCATAAGATTTTAAATGTGATCATAATTGCTTTTTTTTTTTTTTTGCTTTTTTTTCTCTCTCTCTCTCTCTTTTTTTTTTAGACGGAGTGTCGCTCTTGTTGCCCAGGCTGGAGTGCAATAGCGCGATCTGGGCTCACCATAAACTCCACTTCCTGGGTTCAAGCGATTCTCCTGCCTCAGCCTCCCGAGTAGCTGGGATTACAGGCATGCGCCACCTTGCCCAGCTAATTTTGTATTTTTAGTACAGACGGAGTTTCTCCATGTTGGTCAGGCTGGTCTGGAACTCCCGACCTCAGGTGATCCACCCGCCTCGGCCCCTCAAAGTGCTGGGATTATAGGCGTGACCCACTGCGGTGGGACAGTAAGCACTTTTCATTATGTACTAGGTGCATAGCTCCAGACAAAGAACAGTGCCTAGAGTTAGACTTCTGCTCATCTAGAAGGATCAAGTCCAAGGGCTTGAATTTTTAGACAACTAAAGCAAGTATCAGAAGCAAAATTTTAACTTAAATGATTTAACAGGGACACTGATTAATTCAGAACAAATTTCTAAATTTTGGAGACATTTTTATTTTATCTATAATCTTAAAACAATCTATGTATAGGATATATATATATATATATATATATTAAAGATAGGGCCTCACTCTCGCCCAGGCTGGAGTGATTTATGTAATCTTTCTCATCCTTGGTTTATCTAAAATAATAACACAAATCTTATAAACTTGCTCTAAAAATTAAATGAGGGACATATAATACTCCTCCCTCCGTATATTGAACATTTACAAAATTACAGGCATTGTGTCTAGATTTTTACACATGTACCATATATAAGCCTCATAACAACCCCATCTTTTATAGGTGAGAAAACTGAGACTCAGAGGAGTTAAAAACACGTTCACGATCATATAGTAATGAACGATGGAACTGGGATTCAATCCAGTTCTATCTGACTCCAAAGGTGGTGCATCATCTTAACAAAGACCAAGTTATTCTCAGCACATGAAGGTACTCAAAAGATGTGGATTCCCTTTTTCTGTCGCCTTATGTGTGAATTTTAGTGGCTTTCACAGCCTCAGAACAACCCCACACACCCTCCCAGGTTGCCTTTCAGTGGTTCCCTTCTTCTTGGGGCTGATTAGGAATCTGCATATTTAGACTACTTCTTCAATCACCTCCTTATAAACATGTGTGGATCAAGTAATGAAATTTTCTAGGCAATAGGTTACTAACTGTGAATTAATTGTCCAGCTTTTTTATTGCAAATTTATTTGTAACACATTTTATTACATTAAAAAAATCACAGGATCTACTGAATTTGTGCAGAAAGGTCCCAAAGTACACTGCAGAAACATCTTACTGACTACACAGGAAGACCAGCCCGAACACACAAAGCAAGAGTCCCTCCAAAGGCCAGGTGTGAGGTGGTTCTTGCCTGTAATCCCAGCAATGTGGAAGGCCAAAGCGGGTGAATCACTTAAGGCCAGGAGTTCAAGTCCAGGCTGGCCAACACAGTGAGACCCAGTCTGCATAAAAATTTACTTATTATTATTATAATTAAAAAGAGTACCTCTAACATTGCTTTAGAATAGAGAGCTCTGGTCTAGAATTCAAGATACGGAGTTATGAGTCCCAGTGTGGTTACTTAACTACTGTTGTGACTTTGGGCGGGTTATGTAATCACTATGATTCTCGGCCCTTTCTTTGCAAATTATCAGCATTGGAATAGATGATTTTTAAAAGCCCTGACCAGCTCTAGCATTCAACGATTCTGTATTGGTGGATGCTTGTCAAAATCATAATTTACTTTAGTGATGCCCTGAGGTGT